GTGTAGCACAGAGATCTTTCCCAGTTGTACAAAGTACATGTCAGTGTTATTCACAGCAGTGAAGCGTGCACGGTCTGAGTGAGGTGGATGAGAAGCCAACACTGTAATCATAGAGTCACAACATGTCTGCAGCTGCGTGTTGAACTTCGACCCTACCAACAGGTGCCAGGGCGATGTGACACATCTCTGGCTCCAACATGAAGATGTCATAAGTTTGCATGGTTTGTCAAATGATGTTAGTCTGAGCTGTAATAAATGAAAGTTATTTGAGTCTGTCTGAAGAGCAGTGACGTGAAGCTGTGTACAATGAGAGCAGCTCCCTCACCAGCAGGCCTGTTGCCATCAGCTGCCATGTTGGTGGGAGGGCTACTGTAAATCCCTCTGTCCCTATTAACTCATGACCTTATTGTGACTTCAGCAAAGATGAGACTCATAGATTTAGTCAGTAGAAATAGCACAAGATACTGTTCACATGGAATAGAGTGGTGATGGAACCATGAATGGCTGTGAACCCAGATGGGAGCTTTTCTGCAGACAGAGCAGGAGTGCACAGCTACTGTGAAGACCAAGAGGCGTGGTGCACTTCAGATTCCTGAGGGGTGAACGCACAAGCCCTTTGACACCGTGTGTCCCTGCCTGGCTTCATGTGCAGGAGGTGACGGAGCAGTGAGCATCATCCCAGGGGATTAGCCTATGACGACGTAATGGAGCAACTCACATCAACCGAATCCAGCAGCTCACATGGATTCACCCATTGAAGTGCATGTTGGGGAAAGAAGATCACTTCGCATTTAATACCCATACCTCTGCTCTTCTTCAGGTTCGGCTGCTTTCCAGACCCGTCTGATCCAACCACAACTCATTTTAATGCAGGAAACACGCTTTACATGTGGAGATGTACAGTCCACAGCAACGCCTCTAGTTTCACTGTTTACAGACCAAACCTTTCACAGAGACCAGTGAAGGATTCTGGGAAAGGAACTGCCATCACTGTCACCTGGTCGCGTCTAGAGCTCAGAGGGTTCATCTGAGCTCCCACCCCGTGAAACCACCACTGCCACAGGCTGCTTTCATTCAGCATCGGAGGAAACACACTGGAACGCTGCTGGAACATGAGGACGGGCAGGTTTTTTAGCAAGACAGATCTTTATAGTTTTAACAGGATGAAACGCAACAAGTGCGTCTGTTCATCAGCGCAGACAGAAGTGTTTGTGTGTTCACAAAGCGCCAAACACTGTGTAGAGGAATCCACATTGTCAGTCTCAGGTGTAGGCGCACGATGGATAAGGAGAATCCAGTCCTCACGAGGTCGTTCAAGATGTGAAGGTCACCTGTGATCCCACGTCCGTCCCTGCCAAACTGTTCAGTCACATCCAGACAAACATACGCGGTCTACAAACGTCCACTGAGAAATCAGTGCCATGACCTCAGAACTGACAAGCTTAGACCAAGTTTAGAGGACACGTTTCTCTGAGGAAGCGTTTCCTTCTTTGTGGTGACAAAAAAAGCAGAACAACTTAGGAACACACGCTGGGTCAGTAGGCAACAGCTGCCTTAAATGACCTTCTCTCAGATTCCTGCCACTGAAATAATGAACAGACAACATCCACTGTTGCTGAGAAATGACAGAACTTCACTTTCCACCAGGTTCAAGACTCAGTTTGGCTCAAATCAGACATTTTAAAGGGGCAGTTACAGGTTTAAGAAACCTACTGGGCTCCTTGAGCACCAACTGCCTGGAGGAATGGACATCTAAAATGACAAACTGTCAATAAGAGAAACATCTAATTTAACACCTGGTCTGCCTAAACCTCGAGACCACGTTGTCACATTTACAACACACAGCACCGTGTATCCTGAAATGTTTTTATTTGTTCTTATTCCAAAAGCGGTGTGTCTTCCTGTACAAGCAGGTCGAGGAGCCGTAACAGAGTAACAGAGTCGGGACTCACACTGATGAACGCCAAGTTCATTGTGTTGTCTGAATCCAAACAGTCACTGGTTTTACTGGTCAAGCTTAGTTCAGAAGAACGTACATGGTAACATATGAATAACAACAACACTGAAGTCGGGGTGGACCTCAGGAGTCCAGTCGACATATGGGGCTGTCGTAGACCATCTGCAGGTTCACCTTGTGTCCCACCAGCTCTCTGATGTTGTTGATGCCGTATTTGATCATGGTGGGTCTGTGGGCAGAGGACAAGCCTCAGTGAGCAGCAACAACAAAGTGTCTATTCTGGGTCAAATCATTGGCTGTGTCCTTAAAGGAACGTTCAAGTCCTTCTCCTGCAGCAGACTAGAATCATGTCTACACAGGACTCTGAAGCTAAATGTGACGTGTGAGCATCGTGTCTACACACCTTTGACCCTAAATGGAAAATATGGTGTGGTTTTCACACACACACAAATGCTTCCATTTCCAGAACATGTGTTGTGATCCGTTAAAGCTGCAGTGTGTGTTCACCTTTCCAGACTGAGGCCCCAGGCGATCACCGACACATCCTCAGGAAGACCCATGGGCAGCAGCATCTCTGGCCTGAACACCCCCGAGTTTCCCACCTCAACCCACTTCTTCAGTCCTGTAGGTACAGAGAAAGCGGACAGTTAGCGGAATGAGCGAAGGCCGGCTCTGTGTCGATCTGTGATTTACACCATTTGAAACTGACATTTCCCTCCAAAAATAATGAAGCTAAATAAATTTAACGTGTTCCTTCAGCTCGTCTGTTTTAACTTGCTAGACAAAAGAAGCATCGGTGCATCTTGTGGTTCACAGGGACTGAATGTGTCCTCTGTTCCTCTGCTGTTTATTTTAAAATCTCTAATAAATTCAAGTTTTAATACATTTAAATAATTTGGAGCCATTTTAACGAGCTAATCACAGGGCGTCTGGCCCACAGCTGGTTCAAATGTAAAGTCAAGTTTCATGAAAACCCAAGGGCGCGTCAGCTGCAACGTCACACACCGAGCCGGGCTGTACCTTCATGGTAGCTGAACACCTCCATGCTGGGCTCAGTGTACGGGTTGTAGGCAGGCTTGAAGCGTAGTTTGGTGATTCCTACAGGAGGAACAACAAAGACTGGAGTCATGTGGCTGAAAAGTCCAGGTGGCAGTGCACAACAATGTGCAAACATCACACAAACACTGCACAGGAATGTGGCGATCGCTGTCTGCAGCTCAGATCCCAGAGTGTGCAGAGACACGTGAACAGCTGACAGGAAAATCTGCTTTCAGTCGGTTTGAAATGTAATTGGACGCTGACTTTTTGTGGTTTGAGTAACTTTTACTCCTGAACTTTTGAGGTATTTATATACTCATCTGAAGTACTTTTACTGAAAGACCTTTAGTTCTATTAGACTATTTGTACAATGTGGTATTACTACTTTTACTTTAGTGAAGGATGCCAGTACTTTTTCACTGCTCCAGAGACAGAGTCGGAGAAACAGGGATGTGCTGATGTGTTGTTCTGGGATCGGAGCAAAGCTCAAAACATCTGGTCTAATTCAGAACAGAGGTTATGACACTGTCGTTTTGAAGCGTTGGAGTAAAGACTGAGGAGCGAAAACAAACATTTTTATCCAATTAAAAATTAAGTGTGCAGAAAGTGAAGGGCTCCGACTACGTTCTGAAGTCAGTGCGTGAACACAGTCCCCCTCGAGGACCTTGGACTTTCAGCCCTCATCCCCCGACCTAGTTTGGTGAAGAACTGGTGCAGGACCCCCATGAGGTCTCCCAGCGTCAGCCCGTAGTCCGCCACCACGCCCTCGATCTGGTGGAACTCGGCCAGGTGAGTCGCATCCAAGGTCTCGTTCCTGAACACGCGGTCGATGGAGAAATACTTGACGGGGGTGAACTTCTCCTGGTTTGACGGGTGAGAGACGAGAGAGAGCACGGTCAGCACATGCACAACGGTGGATACGACAGTGGTGACAGCAACAGGAAGTGATGTGGAACATCTCCAACCTGGAGCCATAGCTCACATATAAATGTACATATCTGCAGTACGGTTGACAACAGTTTCTTTACATAACAGCTGCTCAGGTGTGTGCAGCTCACCTGCTGTGCGACCTTGTACAGCATGCGTGCACTGACTGCTGTAGTGTGGGTGCGCAGGATGTTCTTCTGAGCTTCCTCTGTCTTCCAGTCGTATTTGTACCTGAAAGACAGCAGGATGTGAAATAACACCGCTACGTCATACTTCAATTTCACTACATTTTACAGAAGAATACTCTACTCTACTCTACTCATCCTTAAAGGAACGTTCAAGTCCTTCTCCTGCAGCAGACTAGAATCATGTCTACACAGGACTCTGAAGCTAAATGTGACGTGTGAGCATCGTGTCTACACACCTTTGACCCTAAATGGAAAACATGGTGTGGTTTTCACACACACACAAATGCTTCCATTTCCAGAACATGTGTTGTGATCCGTTAAAGCTGCAGTGTGTGTTCACCTTTCCAGACTGAGGCCCCAGGCGATCACCGACACATCCTCAGGAAGACCCATGGGCAGCAGCATCTCTGGCCTGAACACCCCCGAGTTTCCCACCTCAACCCACTTCTTCAGTCCTGTAGGTACAGAGAAAGCGGACAGTTAGCGGAATGAGCGAAGGCCGGCTCTGTGTCGATCTGTGATTTACACCATTTGAAACTGACGTTTCCCTCCAAAAATAATGAAGCTAAATAAATTTAACGTGTTCCTTCAGCTCGTCTGTTTTAACTTGCTAGACAAAAGAAGCATCGGTGCATCTTGTGGTTCACAGGGACTGAATGTGTCCTCTGTTCCTCTGCTGTTTATTTTAAAATCTCTAATAAATTCAAGTTTTAATACATTTAAATAATTTGGAGCCATTTTAACGAGCTAATCACAGGGCGTCTGGCCCACAGCTGGTTCAAATGTAAAGTCAAGTTTCATGAAAACCCAAGGGCGCGTCAGCTGCAACGTCACACACCGAGCCGGGCTGTACCTTCATGGTAGCTGAACACCTCCATGCTGGGCTCAGTGTACGGGTTGTAGGCAGGCTTGAAGCGTAGTTTGGTGATTCCTACAGGAGGAACAACAAAGACTGGAGTCATGTGGCTGAAAAGTCCAGGTGGCAGTGCACAACAATGTGCAAACATCACACAAACACTGCACAGGAATGTGGCGATCGCTGTCTGCAGCTCAGATCCCAGAGTGTGCAGAGACACGTGAACAGCTGACAGGAAAATCTGCTTTCAGTCGGTTTGAAATGTAATTGGACGCTGACTTTTTGTGGTTTGAGTAACTTTTACTCCTGAACTTTTGAGGTATTTATATACTCATCTGAAGTACTTTTACTGAAGGACCTTTAGTTCTATCAGACTATTTGTACAATGTGGTATTACTACTTTTACTTTAGTGAAGGATGCCAGTACTTTTTTACTGCTCCAGAGACAGAGTCGGAGAAACAGGGATGTGCTGATGTGTTGTTCTGGGATCGGAGCAAAGCTCAAAACATCTGGTCTAATTCAGAACAGAGGTTATGACACTGTCGTTTTGAAGCGTTGGAGTAAAGACTGAGGAGCGAAAACAAACATTTTTATCCAATTAAAAATTAAGTGTGCAGAAAGTGAAGGGCTCCGACTACGTTCTGAAGTCAGTGCGTGAACACAGTCCCCCTCGAGGACCTTGGACTTTCAGCCCTCATCCCCCGACCTAGTTTGGTGAAGAACTGGTGCAGGACCCCCATGAGGTCTCCCAGCGTCAGCCCGTAGTCCGCCACCACGCCCTCGATCTGGTGGAACTCGGCCAGGTGAGTCGCATCCAAGGTCTCGTTCCTGAACACGCGGTCGATGGAGAAATACTTGACGGGGGTGAACTTCTCCTGGTTTGACGGGTGAGAGACGAGAGAGAGCACGGTCAGCACATGCACAACGGTGGATACGACAGTGGTGACAGCAACAGGAAGTGATGTGGAACATCTCCAACCTGGAGCCATAGCTCACATATAAATGTACATATCTGCAGTACGGTTGACAACAGTTTCTTTACATAACAGCTGCTCAGGTGTGTGCAGCTCACCTGCTGTGCGACCTTGTACAGCATGCGTGCACTGACTGCTGTAGTGTGGGTGCGCAGGATGTTCTTCTGAGCTTCCTCTGTCTTCCAGTCGTATTTGTACCTGAAAGACAGCAGGATGTAAAATAACACCGCTACGTCATACTTCATTTTCACTACATTTTAGAGAAGAATACTCTACTCTACTCTACTCTACTCACTAGATTTGATAACTTTAGTTACTTTTCTGAAAGAGATTCATGAAAGCAGTCGCACTATAATCATCCCAGTAGGAAATCCACCAGCTACCCAGCAGGATGGAAAGTACTTCCCAGTATAAGTATATAAGGTAGTTACCATCAGCTCCACCTTTACCAGCTGAAACATTGATGTGCTGGACACAGTAATTATGATCCATTAGTATCATATACATTCATTTGAATGACTCCTGTTACTTTCAGTACTTTAAGTATAGTTTTATTTTAGTACGTCTCAGTACTTCTTCCAGCAATTGTTGGGACTCCGGTAAAGTTAAATACATAAAACAAACATCTTAGCCCCCTTGAACATGAGACGGTGTCTGACCCCTGAGAACCGAAGCCTCCCTCGGAGTGGACCCTCTTCACTCTCTGCAGGTAGTCCTGCGGGAACTCGTGAGCAAGCGCCGGGTCTGAAGAAAGATGTTTGGGCACAAATGAGAACAAAAAGCGAAGTGGACTGGGCACAGACAGACAGGCAGGACGCACGCAGCCTCACCGGACAGGAAGAAGGTGTCATGCTGGTCTCTAGCCGGGTGCTGCTGGGGCTGGAACAGGGAGTCGAAGTTCCAGAAAGAGCTCTCTATGAAGTTGTTGGTGGGCATCTCGGTGAAGCTGCAGCAAAGCAGACAGCTCAGTGTGTGTGTGAGAGAGAGAGAGAGACGTGGTGACTTCACTGGGCTGCATACAGCGACTCACCCCATCTCCAGGAAGATCTGTCTGAACTGCGTTCGCACCTTCATCAGTGGGTGCAGGTGGCCACAGTCCAGGGCCACACCCATGGCCTCAAAGTTGTACGGCTTAAATGTCTTCTCTTTCCAGCTGCCACTGAAACACAACACGGAGCGAGAAGAGCCGTTACGGGGGAATAGTGCAGCCCCTCCACTCAACCGCCCCCTGACCCGTCAGCACACACGTTAACAGAGCAACACTTCTCCCATACACCACCATCGCCTGAGCACCGTCAACCTGCGGTGTCCACGACAGCAGTTTGGATTCTGCACATCTGGATCCTGCTTTCAGTTAAACCCCCTCAGCACAACATCACCTGCATCAGCCCATTATTTATCCCTACTGTTTCTCCTCGGGGACAGAGCGCTCACATCATTCACTGGCAGTTTAAAGACGCTGGTTCTGTAGCAAAAAACATTAAGAATCAAGAAGCAGCTGTTTGCTCGTGTGATTCCCACTTCTCCTGAGAAGAGCAGCACAAACACACGATAACGATGAACTGTCTGAGGTTAGACAGACGATCCTGGACATTCTACACAGACTGCTTCCTGCACACCACTCAGGTTTCCTCCATCTGGTTGTCCTGCCCTGCCTTTAGGACCGAGTCCTCATCTTTGGACTCGTCCCCTTTTCTGGACAGATGTTTCTCTGTGTCCTGTGTCCGAGACCCTGCACACCATCACTGACTGACAGAGGAGGGCAGACAGGACACATCAGGTCTGTGTTAAATTGTGCATTGGGCAACAGTAGAAGGTGGACTCACGTGGCAATCATCTCAGGCGTGAGCTCCGTCTCCTGCTTGGTGACAGTGGTGCTGAAGGAGCTGCCCTTAGTGATCCAGTAAGACTTCACCGTCCTGCACACACAAATCCAAATGACTCCAAACAAACACAGAGAGACGAAGGCCGGTGCAACACCAGGATTACATGCAGAGTCAACACTTGATCAGAAAGGTGGTGATTTTGTGGTGTTTCTAGCATTTTTGCACCCGCAGAGATGAAACCTCAGCAGATTTAGTCTGACACAGCAACACCACAAAGTCCAGAACCTCTAAATGTACCAAAGACCAAATCAACACACAGACAACTGGAGAAAAGTTGCAACAAAACCTGAAAGTGATCATGATAATTATGGGTACTTAGTGCATGTGTACTGTTGTTGTGTTTGTTTTAATAAGTACTCACCTAAGTCTAGTTGATAAAGTGACGTCAGGCCTATTGTGAAGGTTTTATTGTGGAAGAATAAGCAATGTATTGTATCAGTGCATGTTTCATGTTACACAAAACACCTGCATGATACAGTCAATCTGAAACCATTTGGTTTTTCAGGAAGCCAAACTCTGTTATCCAGTTTTATGAATCTGTCGACCGCAGCGTACACAGCTGGGATGGAAGCACATTAACTGATGAAGACCAAACAACTGCTCTGGCAGTTTCAAACCAAGCCCCAGCCTCAGACCGGTGCAGACCACTGAGCACACCAAGCCTTCTACTGCCACCTACTGGCGAACAACGGCACACACCGACCATCAACTGTGTCTTACACTTCAGAGAGCAGTCGTCTCTTCTTCAGCTCATTCTTTTCTTTCTCCTCCAGCTCACAGCTGTTGCCCCTCTGCACCAGAAGCAGCTTCTCTCGGACCTGGTCCTCAATATTCTCCACCTGGGACCAAACCACACACACCTTCTCAGAACAGAGACTGCAGACTAGATACTGATCTCTCCATTTCAGTTCCAGTCATTTAAATCTGGTTTGACTCAGGACAATGCGTTTGCTTCAAGATGCTGCATTAACTTCAGTTTTTTCACATTATGGACTAAACTGAACATTTCCTGGTTCTAATTTCACCCCAGTATCAAAATGGACTTCCTTTGTGTCTTCAGCTTTAATTTGCTCCTTGTTCCTTTATGAGGATTCACTGAAAGTATGGAGATCGTTTCAGGTCCAACAGTGCCTTCACTAAATCCCCCAGTGGGGGGCGCCGCTCGTGGCTGCCTCGCTGTGGTTCACGCTCAGCATCTGTGGACTTTAATAACTGCCCAGCAAAAAGTGTCTGTGCACATGCTATCACTAAGTCAGAAAAGGAACAAATGCAAATGTCGGTCTTGGGATTTCAACTGAGAATCTGAATTAGGAAGTGAGAAACCCTACCACCGCCCACACAAAGCTGCAGCAGCGGGTTGGTACAAAGGAACACATACAGTCCTGAAGATCCTCGGCCCGCCCTCATGCGCCTTGTCCACTCGGATCCACTTGTTGGACATGGCCTTGCTGAAGCCGATCTTCCCAAAGGACAGTTTCTACACAGGGACAAATGCACAACATCATCACTGTAGAAACAGCACCTCACACACAGACTGTTCAAGATTAGAAATACAAACATCAGCATTTAGGGTCAAAGTTTCAGTTGTAGAAACAAACTCAGCATCAGTGAGTGAATGCAGTGCAGTGAGGCGCGGCAGAGATGACCTCAGGGGCTCAGGGCTTGATGGGAAATGTCTGGCTCTCACCTGTTCTGAGAGCTGATTGGTTGAGGTGCTGGATCAACAACATGAAGTTTCATAGAAATGGATCATTTCTTGATTAACTGCAGTAAGTGTAATTTAATTCATTGGTCTTCGCACTACGAAGGTTAGTTAACAGCTGATGGTGACTTTTATCAGTCAGTGCACAGGACATGACATGTAGGTCCCACAGGCTGCACACGGTCTGTGACAGTCCTGCTCTGCTACCTGAACTGATTTCATTCCTTAAGGATCAAGTGACACAAGCATTGATGAACGGGATGTGAAGAACCTCTGTCACATCTGTACAGAGGTGACGCAGACCCATGTGACAGATCAACGATGGCTGTGGATCGAGCCTGGTCAGCTCAGATACAGCAGCAAACTGATCTGATGATGCTTTGTATGAGAAATGCTGCCCAGACATGGTATGTGAGTCCCAGTATGGAGACAGGGCAGCATGGCTCATTGTCCTTGTCCTCTAGAGGGACGTCATTAAAGCAACAGCTCTTTGTAGAAGCTGAACAGTTTTGTTTGATGACAGTTGATTAAATCGGGATCAGACCTGACAGGGTGGGAGTTTCTGTGACTTCCTGTACAGCTCCTGAGTAGGTAGGTGTGCCTTTTCACTTTCCACCTCTAATTAGCCTGGATGTTCGCAGCAGTGTGCGGGTGATGTGCGGCCGACCTCACCTGTCCCCCCCCGCACTCACCATGAGCTCGCTCTGGGCCAGACCCTCCAGCGGGATGGAGCTGAACACCCGGGCTTCATGGCTGCCCTGCTCGGCTATCTCTGTGCCCTCCCCCGTCAGCTCCCAGTGCTTGGAGGAGCGCAGTTCGGCGGAGATCACCTGGACAGCAGGTAACAAACACACCTGTCACGTCACGTGTGCGTGATTATACGGTATAAGTATTCGTCCCACATGGCTCAGTGAAAAGCACAGTTAAGGCCGGTGTCACGGTGCTGAGCTTATTCAACTTGTCTGCTCTAAACTCCTTTCATTGCATCAGTCACACTAACGTTACATCAACTGCTTTTACGGTGACAGTCTCACTTCCGCTGACATTCAAGCCCTGAAACTCACGTCGCCGAGAGTCTGAAGACTCTTCACGGCTCCGACGCGTCCGCCTTCTCAACCCACCGGAGGAGCGTCTCCGCCACACCGGTGTCCGCCATACTTTAGCCCTGCGAAGCGGAGAAGAGACCGGATGTGACGTCCCCAAGGGCCGTAAATGCCAGAATGATTGGGCGTAACAAAGGAAACATTACCGTAAATACTGATGTACATTTATTTCTGCACTGGACTTTATTTTGGAAAAATGTCCGTTTACTATGCTGGAACATAAATACTGGACCTTTCCGCGGAATATCTTTAATTCTTTTTAGGTAAATCTTAATTTAATGTTATTCACAAAGTAGATCAAACACTAGGCCTACACTGACTCCATTAATTTTTACATTTGAAAATTACTCCCCTGTGTTTTTAGTGTATATGAAATGCAGCTCTCCTCTAGTTTAACAAATATAGGAAGCCTGAAGCACAGCAAGATATTTTATTTTATTTATCTCAGATAAATCTATATTTATATCCATTTCAGGTCATAGGGGCTTAACTAGTCTTATACGCTATTTCAAGTTACCTCCCTCTAGTAAAGTACTCTTAATTTATGATCTATAACTAATAAGTTTAACATTAAAATGTTTCTTTTAGTAATACAAATACTTGGATCATTTTAGGTGTAAACTCTACTTAAACCTCTATTCTAAATAAAAATCCCACTGAAACAAAAAGCTACACTGGAGAGAAGCGATTTAACATCAGAACTGAAAGTGTATTTTCCAGTAATCTGCAAAACTGTTTATTAAAATAACTACATCACATCAGGTAAGTTACAAAATAAGCCAAAATTACAAGCAATGAAGAACAGAACAAGCTATTCAGGTCTATTGAAATGTTACAAAAAATACAATCGCCTTTGTAGTTTACAACTACAAGAAGTTTTACAAGTTTCACATTAGAAAATAAATGGTGCCGCCACACAACTCTGTGAGAACACAAACCAAGTCAGAGCAGGTGAGTGAGTAACTTCAGCCTTCATGTTTACTGATGACAATGAGGACCGGTAGCACAGGTTAAAAAATAAAGAAGAACCTAAATAAAACACAGGACCAAGCACTGACCAGACCACTAAACTCAGCTCTGACAAATAAAATGTCCAGATCTGTCATGTTGTGTGCTCACATGTGCTACATATCAATCCAAATGCACATACAAAGCAAACACAGAGAAGGCAGAGAGCACAGGCGGGCCGTCAATCGCTTTCTTTGGAGAAGGCTGGAGCCACCGGGTGAGTGATGGCGTCTATCTGTACTGGTAGTTCATGCTGCCGTCGCCTCTGCCGTAGCCTGCCGGGCTGTGGTACTGACAGTGGTTGTTTCCAAAGCCCTGGCTGCCACCTCCTCCACCGCCCTGTGGGTTGTAGCTGGACTGGTTGTTGAACCCTATGAAGGAGAGCATGGAACTATTAGTGGGGAAAAAAGGTGGAGACCAGTTTCTAAGTGACGACTTCAGTGTGATGACGGACAGGAACGAGGTAGAAAATGACCCTAAGTAACACGAGAAGTTGTTTTTATGCCGAAAACTGCACAAATCCCAAAAGTGCCAAGTGAAAAATGTTGATGATGTGAAGCTCAGAGAGCAGAATTAGCTGTTGGCTGCAGAGATGTGCTCAGAACTGTGGATGGTTTTCCACTAAAGCTGCAGGAAGAGTCCAGTTTAAGGTCTGGGAGCTCTCACACTGTGACAGCATTAAGGCTGCTTAACCAACACTGCTAAGGCTCTGTGGCCATCTGTGTGTTTAGTCTCAGTTTGGGAGTGACCGATGGCTGACAGAGGAGCAGACTGAGCACCGAAAACGCATCACACTGTTTAGATTTTTCTCTTACATCCTTGAAAATAGTTCAGTTCAGATATATATTTTTTTTAATCAGAGGAAATCTGATGTGCAATAGCAGACAAGGACACAACATATAGTACAAGAGAACAAGGGACGTGGTTGTCTCATACCTAGCAAACGTTACTGATGACCACCTACACACACCCCTTTAACTCACCTTCGTAACTGTAGTCCTGGCTACTCCCAGCACCCCCCGTCACCTGGCTCGGGTAGGCGGTGCTGTACGAGTATCCACCTGTTCCCCCCTGGTTCTGGTTGAAGCTCTTCTTGCCCTGCCCATAGCCCGGGTTATACTGGTTATAGGAGCCCTGCCCTGAGGGGCTGCTGGACTGGTAGCCTGCTGCTGATCCACTGCTCCCACCCATGGCACCTGAATAGGATGACTTCCCTCCCTTGTGCACGGGGGGTTTCTTTTTGGGGGTTTTCACGCCAGAAGTGGCAGCGTAGGCTCCGTCATTCTGGTAGTATGACCCATAAGAGCCCTGTGCTGATGCTGGTGGTGTGCTGGCTGGAGGGCCACCTAACGGGCTGCTTGATGCCCCGGCTCCTCCGTTTGTGCCACCATTGTTGTAGTAATCTGGGAAACAACACGGCACAGTCTTACAATGGGCACACCATGATATATTCTACCAGCCACTGCTTGTACATTGGCTCTGTGCAATACATTCACTCAGACTGAATTAACTCAGACACAGGACTAACAGTAATGAATGATCATGTCTATTAAAAAAAAAAAAAAAAAAAAAAAAAAACAGCAATGGAGAGAATAAGGTCAACGCTGTCAGGTGCCCAATTTAGGAAAAAGAGAAAAGAAGAAGAGGAGAAACGAGCAAAGAATAAAGGTATGCAACTACATTCTGTATGATTACAGTATCCATGTCATCAATGAAGGGCTAATGTTAATTTATTGGTATAATGTTAACTCTACAAAACTGTATTAACCCAGACACAGGACTAACAGTAATGAATGATGATGTTTAAAAAAAAAAAAAAAAAAAGAAAATTTAAAATAAACACATAAGAACTGCTAAAGCGGGTCTTCAGGTCACCGGTGCCTGATGCTGTTACAGATGGGATGCTGCAACCAGCCAACAGTGCCACAGTAAGACCATCATGCTTTCAGTGTAGCCATGAGCTAACAGTGCTGCTGGTGTGACACAGAAAGAGCAGCTTCTACAGGAACAACATGGCCAAAAGCTAAACAGGAAATACAAATCGTATCAGCCTGATCGGGGCCGGAAGGGACAGAAATGCATCAGATAAAAACTCATTTTGGATCTTCTCAGTGTCCTCATCTCATGTACATGGACTTTGTTCTCCGGTCTCTCCGTGAGACCTACTGTCTAAAGAGAGCTTTGAAAATAAAAGTACACGGTGTGGAGACCAGGCTGTAGTGGTCACGACAGTAATCCAAAGGCAGTACGTTGTCCAGCTCCACAGGCTCTCACTGAATCCCGATCCAGAAACAAAGCCCCATCCCCGCTGCCACACACGGAGGCCATCCACAATAAATCAGCCTTGCGGTTTGGGTGTGTCCAGGTGTCCATGTGCATCCACAGCAGGTGATCTACGGCTACACGAATGCAACGGCAGATCGTCTCCCCGAAGTGTCAGGACACGGCAAGTGGATGTGCATGACAGGGCAAAGGGGCTGTTGTCACTTTATTCCAGGGGTGGAGGGCGCAGAGGTGAAGAGAGTGTGATGCTGCTGGAACACTACTGAGTACTTTGTTTTTATCCTCTCTACAGGAGTGTTTTTGACTTTCTAAGACTGTGGAAGGTCTATGTCGCAAACTCGTGGTAGCCATAGCAGTCTGAGACAAAGTCACCTAAAGAGTGAGACAGGGCAGAGAAGGGGAAAAAAAATAAATCAAAATTAGATTTGTTTCTTTGGAGCTTTTTCTGCCATAAAGTGGCAGTCGAACGACTCGTTTGGTCAGATTGTGTTCAAAGTGAGTTGTTGGGTTTTTTAGATTTCTCTGCTCCTGTCACGCTCAGGTAGGTCAGTCCTCAGAACAGGCTGCCAGAGGCAGGACAAGGGTGCTCACAAGAGGGGGCTTGTCAAAAACAGATTCAATCCTGTGGCTTAAAGCAGAGAAATGTAAAATCGCTGAACCTACAACATCCCAACATCTTTTATCATTATTATATGGCCTTGTTTACTAGGTTCTGGAGTGAAACATGTTCCTCTAACAGGCTACGTCCTCAGTTCAGGTTGTTCTAATAAAGGCAACAAACAGCACACGCTGGGCAGATACACGTTCCTGCTGGATGGCAAACAACATCTATGCCCACACACCGATTCAGACAGTAGCTTCAGAAAGTATTCAGACATTTACCTTCTGCACACTTCAACGTATTATAGATTTAATTTGAATTGGAAGAATGGAATGAACTGCTCAAATCCAGGGTTGCAGCTTGTAGAGACTTAGCCAAAGTAAGATTTCAGTTTGTGATGGTTGATAAATGTTCAGACAGTGTCTAGAGACATGTTTCCACTGTGGGATTATGTGTTACTGAGTGTGGACTGGTGATCTGATCTGATCCACCTTCTCAAGCTACTGTGTGTCTGGACTCGCACGCGGCAGCCCAGACACAGACTACGTATCCAGTCAAACAGGCTTAGAAAAGATGAAATCAGCACTCACTGTATCCGGAGTTCGCGCTGTTCCCGTAACCATACGTTCCAAAACCACCTGGGAGGAACAGGGAGGAACAGACAGGTTCACTATGCTGATGTGACTGTGTCAACATGTTAACACTCCTACTGACGTCTCACTAGCAGCAGTCTGAGGGTGTCTTTACCTCCTTGGCCATAGCCTCCTCCATTGTTGAAGCCCCTGCCCCGTCCACGACCTCGGCCCCCTCTCCCTCTGCCCCGGGGCGTCACTGCATCAGCACCTCCAGAGGCTCCCATCATGCCAAAGCCTGGAGCATGCTGACGAGCAAAGAAACACTTAATTTGTGCCGTGTGAAGCCTGACACACAAAGTACTTTTAAACGTCCAGTGAACCCTTAGACAACACTGAATAAATAAAACAGGCTCTAATTACACCACTAGAATGTGCACACAGCTTTCTATATGTGAGGAACGTGGGCCTGTGTCAGGTAGGACTCTCCACCTTAGCTCTGCCTTTTGGCTGCTCTGTAAAAACATGAAAAAACAAACCCACTGTACCATGTTTTAAGGGCATTACAGTTAAGGTAAATAATAAATAACTAGACTACCAACATACTAATACAGGGCTTTTCTACGTATTGATTGTTTCTTGTTGACTGTATCTTAACAAAACCTGAGCCTGAATCCACCTTTGAGATTTTCCCAACTTTTACTAGGTGCATACCATGGGTGGTCCCTTCTTCTTTTTAGCAGCCTCGGCCATGGAGCCCTCAGGGAAGAGGCGCTCCAGAGCGGCCAGGGCTGCGTAAGCCTTGGCCACCTTCTTATTGGATCCTGTACCCTGGAACTTCTGGCCGTCGATCTCCACCTCCATGACGAAGCGTTTGTCATGGCTGCCTCCAGTCTCTGAGATCAGCTCATACTTGAGGCCACGGCGCTTCTCGTTGAGCTCCATCACAGGGTTCTTGCCATGTTTAGTCAGGATTGGTCCCTGCTGGCGAGCAGTCTGACAGGGAAGAGAGACGGCAGTGACAGTTTAAGGCTGCTGATTTTGTAGGTTTATTAACCACCAACAACAATGGGGGTCTACGGCACAGACCAGTAAGCTGAACCACGGTCTTGATTTAATCAGAGCATTCAGCAGTACAGTCACTGCTTGCTGACACACAGGGTGTAGCTTCATACCTCCACAGCATCAGTGGCGTCTGCACTGGCTGCTCCTGTAGCAGCAGTTGTGGTTTCAACGGGTGTGACTACTGGCTTCAACTCCTCCACAGCTACAGCCACCTCCTCTGTTTTTATTGACTCCACAGTCTTCAGTTCCACTCCTGTGGGCAGACCCATGTCCTGCAGGACCTGAAAGTGTCCAACAGACTCATTGCAGTTTAAATAAAAGGAAGCTGAGGTAACATTAAAACAATATTTATGTGAAACATCTCATGCACATGGTGTGCTCACCTTCACAGCCACATGCAGCTTGGCAGTGCGTTTGGATGGACCAGAAGCCTCAAAGGTCTTGCCATCCACCTCTACAGCCATAGTGAAGACCGGAACATGAACCGGGCCCGTCTGTGATATCAGCTTGTACTGAAGACCAGGCTTCAGCTGGTTGAGCCTCATCAGAGCGTTCATGGCCTGAGGAGGCTCCGCCTTCTCCTCTGGAGCTGGTGGAGCAGACAGACCACAAAGACAGCATGAAACACAGCAAGACACATTCAGAAATAGACAAGACACAACAAACAAACACTGATCAGGTCAATGTGGCTGGTGACTGATTGTCAGAGACGTAGAGCTCCAGAGCCAAGGCAACCTGTAGAAAGGGAGAGAGAGAGAGAGGACACACTACGGGAGAGAGGAGACACAAAGTTAGTGATGTGTAATGGTGGCATATAGAAGCATAGGGAGAGAGAGGAGAGGAGAGGAGAGGAGAGCATCATGGGGCCCCCCAGCAGTCTAGGCCTATAGCAGCATAACTAAGGGAAGGCTCAGGGTCACCTGATCCAGCCCAAACTATAAGCTTTATCAAAAAGGAACGTCTTAAGTCTAATCTTAAAGGTAGAGAGGGTGTCCACCTCCTGACCTGAGACTGGGAGTTGGTTCCATAGGAGAGGAGCTTGATAGCTAAAGGCTCTGCCTCCCATTCTACTTCTGTGGACTCTAGGAACCACAAGTAAACCTGCACTCTGAGAGCGAAGTGCTCCGTTAGGATGATAAGGCTCTACGAGGTCTTTAAGATACGATGGAGCCTTGTCATTAAGGGCTTTGTATGTTAGGAGAAGGATTTTAAATTCTATTCTGAATTTTACAGGGAGCCAGTGGAGAGAAGCTAATATGGGAGAGATATGATCTCTCTTGCTAGTTCCTGTCAGTACTCTGGCTGCAGCATTTTGGATTAACTGGAGGCTTTTTAGGGAATTATTGGGACATCCTGATAGTAAAGAGTTACAGTAGTCCAGCCTGGAAGTAACAAATGCATGGACCAGTTTTTCAGCATCACTTTGAGACAGGATGCTCCTGATTTTTGCAATATTGCGCAAAAACGTTATGGATAATGTTATGGGGGTGGCTGTGGCTCAGGAGGTAGAGCGGGTCGTTTCCTAAACAGAGGATTAGCGGTTCGATTCCCAGCTTGTCCAGTCAACATGATGAAGTGTCCTTGAGCAAGACACTGAAGCCCCGAGTTGCTCCCGGTGATGTCACCAGTATGTGAATGTGTGTGTGTTTGGGAGTGCGAATCGGTGAATGGGCGAGTAGTGTAAAACCACTTTGAGTGTGCTGTAAAGCGTAAAGTAAAAGACCATTTAATGGTTTATTTTTTTCCAATCAGCTGAGTAATCATTTTTACTCCACACAGAATTAAATTTAACACCCACTTCTTGGCCAGTGTATGAAAGAGGAAGGGCCATCCTGCTGGGAACGTAGTGGGGCTGACTGATAAAAACAAGAGCACTTACATTTCTTCTGCAGCTTTTTCTTCTTCTTATTGGGACTCTTGTCATCAGTGCCCTCCTCTTCCTCAATGGGCCTTTTCATCGGTGGGGCGTATGCCGTACTGGGTGGGATTTGCACTGAATCGCACACAAAAACAAAACTGTGCCATGAGAAAGTACAAAGCACTTTTACTCAGCTGTGTCTTTACAGTGAAAAGAGGTGCATCAGTTAAACATCACAGGTAAGCTGGCTCGTTTACCTGTGTAGTCAATAGGCGTCTCACTGCGAGGTTTCTTGGGCATCTTTGAGGGAAGGGGGTCCATTCCAAGCACTTTGTGAAGCTGTCCGAACGCTGCCAACCTTAAGGCATGCTGAAGACCCGACAGACACAGTGTGAGCCACACATTCACTAAAATGTGATCGCGCACAATTTTATCTGACTGACCTGTGCACTCGCTGTGATATCCTCTCTCTGCTGGTAGTCCAAGTGACTGATAGCATCTGTGGGTTCCTTCTCACATGGATCAGAGATTCCAGCACCATCTACAACAAAAGACAGTTTTGGGTTTACCTCTGTGAAACACAATCACCTTCATGGAGGATTTTATGCAGGACTGCTACAGTAGACTGACTTAGTTTGAACCAGGTGTTCCTAATAAAGTGACCACCGAGTGCAGAAAGCAATCTGAACATTCATATTTAGAATAACAAAGAGTTTGCAGAGCAGATGCCACACACATCCATACCTGCCATGAGGATTCCTGAAGCCAGACACTCTAAAACTCTGCGCAGCGCTTCCCCTGCCCCCATGGGCCGGTTCCCGGTGCCGATGGCCTTCTCACAGATCAGCTCCAGTGGCTGCACAGCAGGAGACACAGGCAGACTATCTTTAGTGACTTTAAGCTCAGGGAGATTTTAGGTCACTGAGTTAGAATAAATCTCAACAGGGACGGTGGTACTGCGCTTTTTTATATGCAAGCAGACAAAAGCCTTTTGTCAAAAGGACATGTCAGTGTCAGTGGAGGGGGCGCTGCAGTTCTAACTCCGTCTCAAGAAAACTACCTCCTACATGTTCCTGTCAATAAGTATTTAAAAACATCCATCCATCCATTTCCGGCAGTCCAGACGCCCCTCTCCTCAGTGACGTGTTCCAGCTCCTCTGGTGGGATTCTGAGGCGTTCCCAGGCCAGATGAGATATATAATCTCTCCGGTGTGTTCTGGGTCTGCCCCGGGGTCTCCTACCAGATGGACATACCTAAACCTCCAGAGGGAGGCGCCCTGGAGGCATTCTGATAAGATGTCCAAACCACCTCAACTGGCTCCTTTCAATGTGAAGGAGCAACAGTTCTACTCCAAGCCCCTTCCAGATGTGCGAGCTCCGCATCCTATCTCTCAGGCCAAGTCTGGCCACCCTACGAAGGAAACTCATTTTGGCCTTACATTTGTGATCTCATTCTTTTGGTCACTCCCCACAGCTTGTGGCCATAAATGAGGGTTGGAGCATAGACTGACTGGTCCATTTATTTAAATACCTATTATATTTAATAATAACACTAAAGTGCATAAATAAATAAAATGGACTCAACATCTGACTGCGTCTCTGCTTTGTTAATCCTCATCCTGGTGGTGTTTCTTTTAACTATTGGAAGAGATTTGTGGTGTAGCCTCATGCAGTGGCCAACTCAGCCCGACACCTGTGGCACATTAACCATCCTGCTATAACCTTGTCTAGATCCCAGACAGGTCCGGACAACCGACAGACTGTTTTTGCTTTGACACTAGTGTCATCTGCAGCTCAGTGATGTTTGGTTTTGCTCTGCCAAGGCCGTTTTCAATACAGCTAGCAGCGCCAAAGCTAAACATGTTTGTATCTTCAACCGTCTTCACCTGAAACTTGCAGGGATGCATCTGACTGCTCAGAATCTGTAGCACTAAAATAAATTTAAAAAACTTGAATCGCTCCTTTACGATCTGAAAAAGTGCTCTGCTAAATCACAATGGTGAATCACTCAGGCAGAATATTCAACCGTTCTCAGAAGCCACACTTTGTTACATGCAGAGGTAGCGTCCACTCACCCAGCCACGAAGCGGGGCCCATGTTGGGACACGGGCACACAGGTCCCTTAGGATCCGGATGACGATGACACAGGAGCGCAGCCCATTGGCTCTGGCCTGGGGACACAAGCAGGGGTGGAGGGAAGGAGGGGCACGAGGAGGGCGCACTGTCTCAGTCAAAGAGGAAGACCAGATGGACCAGACAGCAACATAAACATCCAGCTAAATCAAAGTAAATAAAGAAGCCACACAGACTTTAACAGTTTAGCTTTGTCATTATGGAAAAGAACAAGGGCTGATCACTTAGTTGGAAGAGCTTATTTATAATCATTCACGGCTGTAAATCAATAGACTGATGGTGTAGTTATCAGACATAAAACATTTCTGTTCGTGAAGGAAAAAACATGCGTATGACCTAAGATCAGGAGGGAGGGAGTGAATGAAGCCATCTCAAACTTAATACCAGCTGTAATGTGACAATCGAGTGACCTACTTCAAAAAGGATGTGCTGTCATTGAGGGGCTCGTGATTATTCAGTGGTACTCAAAAAAACAAAAACAAAAAATAAACAGCTCAAGGTGCAATATTCCTGTTGATTCTGTTGCACACAGAGAAAGAGAGACAGCCAAAGAGCAGGAGGAGTTGAGGCCACATACTCTATGTAAGCAGCTACAGAGATGGAGCACTGACTGTTATAGTGTGAAAGCCGAGGATGACACAGGCCACGACACCACCAAGAGTCATTATTGGCATGGTTCACTACTGAACTGCAGCAAAAAGTGCTCTACAAGTAGCTTGCATAAATGTGAAAATAACAACAACAACTCACTCACACCAACAGTGAAATTCTAGAAATATTGCACCTGGATACAAGGTGTATTAGTCCCAGATGTTTTGGCTGATTTGAGTTAGGCAGCTGTGAGGCAGACTAATAAACTCAGGGACTAGAAAGCAGCAATGAGCGTCTTTAAAAATGACACTGCAGCAGAACCTGTTAAGTGTGCAAAGTAACTGTACAACTGTGTAATGACAAAGGTTTCATAAGAAACAAAACATACAGATCATCAAGTATTACTACAGAAAGAACACTTGAAAAGAGAAAAAAGGGGGGGGGACAGACAGAATGCCCAAATAAAGGACAAAAAAAAAAACAACATACAGCATAAAACCAAACTGAAAACTACTTCTGGTTTAGAGACAAATAAAGACAAGATCCAAACCTGGAACCACTTAGCGTGGCGGAGAGATGCCAAGGCAGTCAGGCATTTCTGCCTGTCCAGAACATCCGGGGGATCGTTGACTGAAAGCGTTTCTATTGGCAGGTGGAATAAGAAGACAAGGTACAGTTTGACCAAGGGGAGTTCTGTCAGCCGGCCAGGGGGAACACAGGCAGCCTTCCCAAACCACAGGCAGGAGGGGAAGGGGAGGGGGACCACCGCTGGCTCTCAACCTCCCAGTTAATAAGCTTTAGCACGGCCTGGCACACAATGAGTACAACCTACCAGAACGGCAGTATGCTGAAGTGGGCTAGAAGTTAACATGGCAAAGATAAAACTCACTTTTAAATCCCTGACATAAAACAGTGCATTTATTAAGCATAACTGGTGGGAGGTTGTCTCTCATGTTGCTTCAGTGCTAGAGATGGGCGGATGGCACCAAAGTGCTGCAGCTTGTTTCACTCAGTGAAGTCTTCATCTCGACATGCTGTGTCCCTGCTGCTGTCGAATGAAGAAACACCACACGACCGAAGACGTCTTCAAACGTCTATTCACTGACTTAGACAGGTTTGGAAGTTCTGCAACTGAACTATGTGACAGGCACAGTAGTGACAGAGTCATAAGAGCTTCAACCTGGCACCAAGTAATGTTATAAAAAGCATTATTTAATACATATCACATTAGGACCCCTGAAATGTTACACAAACATCAAATGCGAAGTTAAAACAAGTCCCTGGAGACAGTGGACCTTAACTGCACTAATGATGCTCTTTCATCACCTAAACGTGATAGATCTTGGCTTTCTGGACAACACGTTTATTATTGTTTTACTGCTGCACAGTAACTTTTAATGCAGCTGCAGTAATATCACGTTGAGACTAAACCTGGTCAAATCATTACGGTGGGGCGCCCTGGCAGCGAGCATGTAATGTATGCTGGTGTGCAAAGTGTCTACGGTTCACACTGCCTTCCTGTCTGTCTCTACTGCACACTAGCAAATAAAGGCTAAAAAGTCCAAAACATAACTTAAAAACCTCATCCAGGTGTCGATGAGCTGCTTTAAGTTTTACAGCCCACCTGGTGTCACTGTACTTGTTTGTTTCATGCTTCAATCTTTGTTCACATCAACGCTTCACGAGGTCTCATCCGCCCATCGCTATTCAAAAAAGGTCTCTTTTTCTGTTTGGCACTAACAGGTGGTAGAGCCCCTCCCCTTTGCCCCATTCTGGGTACACTGCACTTTGCCCCTTCCGAGACAGAGAGCGGCCAGTTGGTCAAAGGTCCAGCGTCCCTAAAAATTGACAAACTAGAAGGCTTGACAGAGAGAATCAGAATTGGAACCACAGGCAGAAGTTATCAGATGCACAAAAAGTGGGTATTAAACAAGTCCACACTGCAGCAAAACTGATGGCTTTAAAGAACCAAGGCCCAAACTGGGCACCACTGTTAGCATGGAGCCACAGATAAGGTCAAGGTTAGACACCTGCTAAACCGAGATCCTCGCTACTGTGGAGAGCTCTGAGACACAGTGTGAACTAGCAGAAATTTTACTGTGTGCCTACAATCAGGCCTAATTATATCCTGATTTATTTCTCTGCTACTTTGATTCCAGCTTTGAGTGTCTGGACACGTCTGCAGAACCCAGGTGTCCCTTGTCATTATCTGTAACGGCGAGCCTTCCCTGCTGAGGAGCTTCACAGTCAGTAGCCCACTGCCAGGCAGGACACTCTCAACACACAGCTTGCTGCTCATTTTTGCTGCAATGCAAACCGTTCATCATCAATGATATAACACATGCAAACAAAGTGGTCTCTCTTTTTGTATTTGGTTAAGTTCTCAGTAAGCCTTCATTTCGTTGGTGACCTTGATAATGAAGGGGGCAGAGAAAGCCACGTCTTCAGCAGTCACTAAGCTACCTGCCCTATACTGTATATTGGGCCATCAAAAATGTACAATTACATTACATGGAACTATGAGAGTGGCTGGAGAGCTATAAGCATAGCACAGGTTGATTGTGTGACAGTGCATTCTTGTCCCCTAGCTCCATTGAAGGCCCAATAAACAATATCTGTCTAGACTGGTTTCCTGCCTGGGCTCCCTGCTGGACGAAGGGTGCCACTAGAAATTAAAGCCCTGAGGCCCTGGAGGAGGCGCTTACCTCCAGCAGCAGCCTTCTCCACCTCCTCACGAACCAGAGGGGATGTCAGGTGAATGGTGAGGGTCAGGGGGGGCTCCTTGGTGTTCTTGATGACAATGCTGGCCTCGTGGATGTTCTGGCTCACCACATACTTCTCCTCTGTGATCAGCTGTGAAACAGAAACGAGTCAAGGCCACTGCAGACTCAGTCCACTCATTTTAAAATCAGATGCTCCACAAAAAGGGGTCAGAGTATTTGGGTACTTTGAGAACCCAGCACCAGAGGATCAAAGTGACCTGGCTGGAGGACTGGCAGCCAGCAGGTCAGTCAAATATTAAACCAGGGGCCAGGCCACTTAATGCTTTGTGGACAGGAAGGAGGATTTGGTGCTGACCTCTGTGCTGGAAGTCAGTGGAGTGAAATATGTTGAAATATTCAAGTGCATGTCAGCACTACACTGTGCAAGTCCCAACCTGTTCAGCAATTGTTTTGGCAGTGCAGCAAAGATGACATTGCAGTAACGTGCTTGTGATGAAAGCATGAACAAACTGCTCAGAATCAGCCATAGCTGCAAATGGTACAGCACTGGAGGTATTCTTTAAAAAGCCATCTTTGTCATGTTTCTGATGTGATTATTGAAATTTCAACTAGTGTTTTAGAGTGTCACAGACTTATTTAAATGCAGAATGTTAATGTCATCAAGTAATTAATGACATCAGAAGTAGAAGTACAAATAATATTAGCTGTTACTAAGTCTGGTATACTTCTGTGGTTGAGCCACAGTATGTAAAGAACAACAGCAGACTCAGGGAGGGATGAACTATGATAACAGACAGGTATGAACACTAGAGCCTTGCTGATAAACCTGCAGAGTAAACCCAGCATTCGGTACAGACTTTTACAGTGTCTGTCAACAAATAAGTTCCAAGGAACTGCAGTGGAGAAGAGCAAAAATATGCCTGAGGTCATCTAAAATAATACTGCCATCACGTGGTTTCTTCACAGAGCACTGACACACTAACTGTCTAAAGCTGGCTCCAGGGTACACAGGCTTTTTGTACACATTGTAGAAGTAGAAAAACATTCTGACAGCCTTTGTGTCAGGATGTTGTGAGGTGTCCCACAGGCAGCACTGCTCGTTCAGACAAGTCGGGCTGTTATCAGGCTTAAATTGTGTCGTCTGAAACCACCATCCCTTTAAAATGTGTTTTTTTCAAAACTATGCAGCTGATGTTATGTATTTATGTAAAAAGGACAGATGTCAGCAAATATAATACCTTAAACATTAAATCAGCATCTGCATCAGAAACCCAGTATCAGTCAGGCTCCAACAACAATGTTCTAGCGTTTTGCAGCACACCGAGCCATGTTCTCACCTTGAGCTGTGTAACCAGGTTTTCAGACACTTTCTTCAGCAGACTGATGGTGGGCTTGTCCTTACAGAGCAGCACCAGCTCCAGGTCCAGGTCCCCCTTCAGTAGCAGGCCCTTGGCAACCAGGCCCACCCTCATTACACCACGCAGAGAGCGGGTGGCCTGATCTTTGTGCTCACTTTCAAAAAACAGAGCAGACACAGTGCAAAAGTACAAAATGGTGGTTAGAGAAGAGGCATTAGCCAATTTCATTCTGACCAGTCTTCAGCCCTGACACCTCCTCACCTTTCTTTATTAGCATCTGTGCTGTCAGGGTCAGACTTGCAGGTTCCCTTCTCCTGTTTATCTAGCCAGTCGGAAACAGCCTTGAGAGCCCGCTCCGTGTGAGACACCATGTTCTGGACACTTTCCAACTCCTCCTGAGTCGGGTAGATGGCAGAGTGTTTGGCCATGGCGTGGCGGTCATCATTCATGAAGACACGCATGCTGCGGTGGCGGATTGGAGGAGGCTAGAGGTAAAGAGAATCAAGATAATACCTGGGAGTCTTTGTGTACGACAAGCATCGAGATGGGATTCTATTAACTCAGTCATAGTGCAAAGCCTGACTTCTGCTTGTGACAAAGCATTACCACCTCACTATGCTGGGAGATGGGCTAGAAGACACACAACAGATCACTACTATCTCTATAACAACAGGCGTTGACTTACAGAGCAGCAATACAGAGCTACCCGGAAAACCACACAGAACAAAACACACAAAAGCGCCTGGGATTTGAAAATGCTCCAGGTTTTAGTCAGCTAGGAAAAAGCATTAGTGACAATCTCCATTAGTGCTGCGGCATGTGTGAGAACAGAAAACATTTCCTTCCTTCATATAATTACATTTGTCAGCTCACTGCTGTTTTGCAGAAGTTCATCACACCAGATACCAAATACTGTACATGCAAAAGTGTTGTAATGAATAGTCATGTAAAAGAAATTACTTGAACAGATCCATGAAATCAGCAACAGCACATAGTACAAAAAATGACAAAAAACCCACAACAATATTAAAAGTGCTTACATCAGTTTGTACTGATATAGCTACTCTACATGCATCTCCTCCCATTTGCTTGATAAATAAAACGAGATTCAGTCCTTTATTATTTTCTGTTTACTCCCATGGACCTTAAGGTGTGTCACCTGCAGGAGGATCCGTAAGGTGCCAGCGCACAGTGAATTGGGCAGCAGTCGAAGGCCGGGGCCCCGACGACCCGATCTCTGGACACGAAGACTAGCCCTGGGGACATGGAATGTCACCTCGCTGGTAGGGAAGGAGCCTGAGCTTGTGCAGGAGGTTGAGAGGTACCGGCTAGATATAGTTGGACTCACCTCCACGCACAGCTTGGGCTCTGGAACTTTACTCCTCGAGAGAGGCTGGGCACTCTACCCTCCTCGGGTTGCCTGCGGTGAGAGGCGGCGGGCTGGTGTGGGCTTGCTCATAGCTCCCCAGCTT